ATTTTTACTATCGTAAAACAGAGATAACTCATGTTTTCTTAACTAAAAACTAAGTCCTTAACCTTTGTTGGTGGTTTGAATAAGAATGGCTCCCATAGTTGGTAGAACTGATTTAGGAAAGATTAGGAGGTGTGGCCTTTGCAGGAGAAGGTGTGTGTCCCTGGGGGTGGACCTGGAGGTTTCAGAAGCCCACACCTGGCCCAATCTCTCTATCTCTGCCTCTAACTTGAAGATAAGAGGAGAATTCTCAGCTCCTGTTCCCGCAGCCATAGCTTCCTGCCTGCACATGTTCCCGGCCAGGAAGGTCATGAACTCACCCTCTGAAACTGTAAGCAAGGCCCCAATCAAATGCTTTCTTTTCTAAGTTGCCTTGGTCATGGTACACGGCTACAGAACACTGACTAGGACACTTGCCTCTCTTCTTCCCTTCTAGAATCTATAAGCCTCTATCTAAATCTTTTTGAGGTTCACAAAAAGCCCATGATGAATCCAAGGCCTTTCTAAGCCTCAATCTCAAATTTTCAAGAAGCCACTCCTGAACCCTAAACTGAAATAGGCAGTACATTGGGCACACTAGCACGCTGAGCTCCACGCTCCCCTTTGTGGTGCTGGAGATTAAGTCTAGAGCCTCCCAGAGGCTAGGCAGCCACTCTACTGCTGAGTCACATCCCCAGCCTACTGTGAATAAACAACACAAAGGGCAAAGGCAACTCCACCCTTGAGAGTTCTTTAGAACCTAGCTCTGTCATCTTTGAAGACATAAAGTCCAGTCCAACATGGTGGCGTACACCTTTAATCCTAACACTTGGGAGGATATGGCCGGCAGAGTTCTGTAAGTTTGAGGTCAGCCTGGTCTACAGAGCAAGTTCCAGGGCAGCAAAGGCAACATAGTGAGACCCTCTCTCAGTCTCTCTCTGTCTGTGTGTCTGTCTCTCTCATACACACATACATACACACACACACACACACACACACACACACACACACACACACACACACACACACTCGGGAAGGAAGGGAGGGAGGGAGGGAAGGAGGGAGGTCATGTTTGACCTGCAATAATGAAACGCAGTCTGCCTCAACTCACAGCATGAGACAACAATTTGAAAACCTAGTGCCCTCTTACTACTGTAAAAAGTATTCAGCTAAAGCTTTATGGAGATATAATGTAATATAGAGATATACATTTATTCATTATATAAATTCAAAATGGAAATAATAAATTCATACTGCTTTTTCATATGGCAAAAGTCTCAGTTTACCTTGATATCAAAATAATACTTGGAAAGTAAATTTGCTAGTGTTGGCTCTGGGTCCTGGCACATCACAGGTCAAATGACTCCCAAAAAGGAAGCAAAGAAGTTGAGGATGAAGTTGAGTGGCAGAACAATTGCTTGGCATACCCAAGGTCCTGGCTCAGTTCTCAGCACCACAAGACAAATTAAAAAATAAAAAAATAAAATGAACAAAAAGGAAAAAATGGATTCGTGAATTATTTCTGGAGTACATTTTTTTCAAGTCTTTCAAGTGTAACTTTTAAAAGCAATACTTGGGGATTGTGGATGGCCATTACAACTGACCTGTTCCATCTGCTTTCCTTCAAGTCTTCATTAAAATGATAGTATGGCAAGATAAGGACAAATCCATAAAGACAGAAGATACGGAAGCCACACCACAGAAGATTATGAACACCAAGCCATTGTGCATGCTGGAAAGCAGAGCAACTTCAGAGGATGAGGGGCCAAAGCACAGGCTCTGAGGTTCCCTCAGGGCTGAGGACAGAGGGACCAAAATAACCCTGGAAAAGCAGCCTGCCTGAAAGTCTACACACACACACAAATGTTTAGACTCTTATCTTATACCATTTACAAAAATTAAGTCAAAATGGATTTGATCTGTAAAAAGTAAGCTCAGAAACTAAAATTCCTAGAAGAAAATGCAAGAACCAAGGTTCAGGGCATGCAATTTGTCAATGGATTTCTTGGATGTGACACCAAATGTCCAGGCAACAAAAGCAAAACGTACCAGGGTTAAACAAAATAAAAATGCTTCTGCACAGCAAAGGGAGACAGCAACAGAATGGAAGGCAAGCTACAGAGCAGGAAACTGCATCTGCAAACCATGTATCTGAAAGGGATGAACAGCCCAATGTAAAGATCTCCTTTAACACTCAACAACAAAAAACCCAAATAACCAAAATTTTTCAATTCACAGACATCTCCCTGGATGATAAAGAAGTGGTCAACTGTGCATGAATGGATGCTCAACATCACTAATCAGGGTAAGCAAGTCAAAAGCACAAACAGATGTGGCCTCCCACACAGAATGGCTACTAACAAAAACAGATAATGACAAGTGTTGACAAGATAGTGGAGAACCTGGAACCCTTGTACACTCATAAAAACGTAAAATGTTACAGCTGGTAGAGAGAACACACAGACAATTCCTCAAAAAAATTAAACAGAGAACTGCCACATGATCTAGTAATTCAATTTATGGAATATATCTGAAATAACTGAAAATGAGATTTTAAAGAGATTTGCATACCTATATTGACTGTGGCAGTTTTAGCAATAGCCAAGAATAGAAGACACTATACTATATGTCTATCGACAAATAACTGGATAAGGAAAATGTGGTTGCATTGTCATTGGAATAGTATTCAATCCTTAAAAAGAGATTCTATCATGTGCTGCTACATGCATGATTGGTCAGGTCATTAGGAAGCAAGTAGCCTCAAAGAGATGCTGCAACAGATTCCAATGACAAAAAAGAGAAAGAATGATGACTTCCAGGGGTTGGGGAGAGAGAGAAAGACCTGTTACTCCATCAGTAAGTTATAATTTTCCAAGATGAAAAAAGCCTCAGATCTTTTGTTTGTTTGTTTGTTGTTGTTGTTTTGTTTTTTTTGTTTTTTGTTTTTTCCCGAGACAGGATTTCTCTGTATAGTTTTGGTGCCTGTCCTGGAACTCACTCTGTAGCCCAAGCCATCCTCAAACTCACACAGATCCGCCTGGCTCTGCTTCCCGAGTGCTGGGATTAAAGGCGTGCACCACCACCACCCGGCAAATCTCAAATCTTTTATAAAACAAGATGCATATTAACACTACCTACCTCATACTAAACATGATCAAGAGAATAAATGATGTGATGTACTTTTTTTGTCACAATAAAAGTGAATGGGGAGATTATCTAGACTATCTAAATGGGCCCAATGTAATCACAGTGTTCTGAGAAATAAGAAAGGGTAGACAGAGGAGCAGGTCAGAATCACATAGTGTAAGAAATGGTTGATCCATCATTTCTGACTTCGATGACAGAAGAGGGCAAGAAAATCATCAAACTGAGTTGCTAGGTTAAAAACTACAAACACCAGAGAAAGAGAGGGAGGGAGGGAAGAGGGAGGGAAAAGGAGAGCGGGATTGTGGAAGGGAGTCCCCAGCATGGAATTCTGAATTTTTGGGATGAAGAAAAGTGTTAACCATTTCCTAAAGGCACAAAACACCCCCATGCAGTCAACTAGAAAGCAGAATAGCTGGTGCATGCCAACATACATCACAACACTCAGTCAAAACCAAATAATTATCATAACTTAGTAAATATTAATATTTAAATGCAGTCTAGAACATGGCTGCACTAAGACAAATGGAGATCTGGACATAGCACATCTAATCGTCCCAGAGGCTGAGACAGCAAGACTCTTAAGTCTGAGGCCAGTGTAAGCCCACACTCCCTCCCAACCCCCATAAAAGGAGAGAAGGAGAAGGTAGAGGAAGAAGAGAAGTATAAAAAAAGAAATGGGGGGGGGGCAGGAATGCTAAGTGCATCCTAACAGTCAAGGGTCATCTTTAAATTTTCAACAGGAAATAGGACAGCGATCTAACATTTGTGAAGAAACCAATGAAGTGACACTTAAAGCCTCTTCTGTGTTTTGAAAAGATAGATACATGAATACCAGAGACTATAACCAAAAGAGCTGCAAGTCTATCTTCAGTCAGAGGGCAGTCACAGGGGAAACTAGTAACCAATTGTGCTGGATAGTTTTATATCAACTTGACACAAGCTAAAGTCATCTGAGAGGAGGAGCCTCAGTTAAGAAAATGCCTCCATAAGATCAGGCTGTAGGCAAGCATGTAAGGAATTTTCTTAATTAGTGATTGATGGGGGATGGCCCCGCCCATTGTGAGTGGTGCCATCCCTGGGCTGGTGGTCCAGGGTGCTATAAGAAAACAGGCTGAATAAGCCATGGAGAGTAATCCAGTAAGCAGCACCCCTCCATGGCTTCTGCATCAGCTCCTACCTCTAGGTTCCTATCCTGTTGGAGTTCCTGTCCTGACTTCCCTTAGTGATAAACAGAGATATGGAAGTGTAAGCTGAAATAATCCTTTCCTCCCCAGGTTGCTTTGGTCATGGTGTTTTATCACAGCAATAGTAACCCTAACTAAGACACCAATGTATATGCAACAACTTCAAAAATAAATAAAATGAACAAGGAGAACAAAGAACAAGAAAACAAGGGAGAAAAAAATATTGAGCTCATAAAAGCAGTTATATAAACTGTTCCAAATGGAGGTCCTGGCCATTTACCAGTCTGAGGAAAGAAGCCAGCAACTGTCCTCCATCATACAAATGGATACTTGCAGTTGGGACTCAAGATTCAGGGGCCAGCATCATACAAAGAGTCTGAAAAGTCTGGATGGCAAACATCTAACACGCTATACCACGCTGTGGGAAATGCAATCAACATTCTGAAACATGACTCTTACAATGAAAAGGCTAATGCAATTTATGTAATTACATATTTGGAAGAAAAGTATCAATACATGCTTGTCCAATATACATATATAACTAAATTAATTAAGTGGAATGTGTGTTTGACTGCTTCATCTGAAGTCCTCAGTAATCTTTATATATTCAAGTTTGTCATGATCATTTCTTTAGATCGTCTCAGAAGACAGGGAATAGACACTAGAACATGAAAGAATTAAACATCCATTTACCTCAGTCATGCTGTTACTTTTCCTCATCAGTCTTCCATCCGGTCTAGGAGAAAATAAGTAAATTAAAGTACATTCTTCATACAATGAGCTGCTTATAAGAAAAAAACAAGGTCATTACCACCCCTCCTTATCTGTCCACTGAGAAATAAATGTTCTTCCCTGCTTGCCAACTTCACCCCAGTTATCCTAGTGGAGAGACCAAGTTGTGATTAGGCAAACAAGCAGAGTTATGCCTGGTGTCAGGACAACATTGCCCACCAGACCCATCTAAGGCATCTCCTCAGATTTCCAGTCATGTACCTTATGAACTATCCCCTTTCCATCCAGATTAACTGCTAACTTACTATAGAAATTGATACAGTGGGCAAGCACATTTTTTCAAATCATAAAGATTAGAACTCTGCTGCCGGGCGGTGGTAGTGCACGACTTTAATCCCAGCACTCGGGAGGCAGAGCCAGGCGGATCTCTGTGAGTTCGAGGCCAGCCTGGGCTACCAAGTGAGTTCCAGGAAAGGCGCAAAGCTACACAGAGAAACCCTGTCTCGAAAAAACCAAAAAAAAAAAAAAAAAAAGATTAGAACTCTGGCATAAAAAGGGTAGTGGGATGTTTATATTTTCTTTTTTATCATAATACAATCAACAGCAGCTAAGGGGGATAAGTTTGGGACACACAGAGGTGTGTGTGATCAAAGAACCTGCACACAGATGTGAACCCACTGAACAAAAGGCTTAGGCATGCTTCTTCATCCTGTTCCATCAGATTTTCACAACTAAATCAAACATGACCCTTTCGACATGTATGTATGAATAATGAAATACAAGAAACATGTATGTCAATCAACAAACTACAGAAAAAGAGAAAATGTACCTTTAAGAAAAATGTCAGCTAGGCATAGTGGCACACGTTTATTTTTAATTTAACACTCAAGAAACTGAGTAGGAAAACTATTAAGTCTGAGGCCAGTCTGGGCAACAGAGTGAATTTAAGTAACCAACCGACAAATTGAGACCCTGTCTCAAAATAAATACATTAAATAAACTGCATTTAAAAATTAATAAACATTTGTATTACTGTCATACATACAAACAGAAAAACCAAAACAAAGCTGACTTTGAACACACTGGTCCTGCCTGGAGGTTACTTGGGATCCTTATTACTCAGGGAAGTGTCTGAGTTTGAGAATTCGTGTAACTGGACCAAAATTAAACATTTTAAGGACAAAAAGAGCAGGGGTGGGGGCTAGTTAGCTGATAGCTAATACTATTCAGGAAGATACTGCCATGCTGGGGATGAAAGTGCTCTGGCGAATGGGTTGTCAATGACAAGATCTCCAGAGACTGTCTGACAAGGGAGTTGTTCCTGACAGACTTGCAGGGGAAAGGTCCTCCCATTATGAAGCAAGACTCTATTGTTGAAGATAACATAGGAGAAAGAGGAAGAGGAAAGAAAGGAGAACGTCAAAGGCGGTCTGCTTTCCTTTCTACAGGTAAACAAAAAAAACCTCTATGGTAAAGATAACATAACTTACATGTGGTGGAAGCTAGACCAAGTTTCTAGTGCACCCCTCCACTTGGCTTTCCAATTCCCAGAGCAAAGGCCTAAGTTTGGTTCCCTCCACAGGAACCAAGACTCTCCAAACAGTGCGACTGAGTTCAGAGAGCCAAGCTGTACCCAGTGCCACCGATGCTGTGAACGAGTGTCCACAGGATGAACACATGTGGCTGTGGCTGGATACGGGATCTGTTGGGCAGTCCCTGCCCTGGAGTCACTCACACCAGAAGAGTCACAACGTCATTCAGAATCCACTCGTACAAATTACCAAAAATCCCAATGGCCGTCTCTATAGAGCGGGCACACTTACCACTCTGTACCCAAGAGAAGAGCTGTCAAAAGAAACCTTTCTCCATCCCAGTAACTGCTCGTTCTGAAACCTGCGAAGTAGCCGTATTATTCTCCTACAGCCTCTCTGTAACAAGAGACACCAGAAGAACACAGTGTCCCTCACAGGAAGCTGCACATGAACACAAGTTACTGAGGAACCCCGAGAACACCACCTTCCAACAACATGCCAAGCCTCTGTGAATATTTCCTTTTTATAATAATTTCAAAAAGCAGGGTCAAAACGAGAACATAGTTCAAAAAGGGAAGTTTTTGTTATGCCACTTGAGAAAAAAAAAAAGTAACTACGTTTTAAAAAGACTGTGTGTGTGGTAGCCAAGATATGTGTTTTAAAAGGCCTTCCTGCATCCTCAATGATAAATATAAAATTGTACCTCAACCACAATCACAGGCTGTCATACGTGATATGCTGTTATATTCAATCCCTGAAAGAATGGGGTGGGGTGCTGAAGGGAGCCTTAAAACCACAACCTAATCAGATGAAGACAACTCAAAGGCTACATAACTTCTCTGGGGTTATACCAGGAGAGAGGGGAAAGGGTCCCAACTCAAGTTTACTGAACTACTTGGGTTATTGCGCCCACCATGACAGTTCTAGCTTGATGATGAAAAGCCCCGAGTCTGTCTCAAACTGTTCAGTGACACTTTCATCTTCTAGCTTCAAGCTCTTTGGGCTCTGATCTCCCTAAAGGTTTTGAGGTCCCTTCTCTCTGCGTGATGGTAAAAAGTGTTTTGTTAGCAAGGAGCCTGAGGACAGGAAGCAAAGGAGGCTTAGATGCACTCATTCCAAAGGAGCAGAACCGTAAGGGCAGCAGCTGAACCGTAAGGGCAGTGAGAGCACCCGGGGGGCGGGGTTCCCCCTGTCAGACTGAGCATGGGGAAAGCCTGGTCTAAGAGGCAGGCTTGCTTTCGCAATGGAGGTGTTTTGTGAAGACAAATCATTTCTGGGACTAAACAAGCAGGTAACTACGTAGACCGGACATACATCAATGAATGTCTACAGAGTGCAAGTCCCCAATTATCCTTGCAGCTTTAAACACTCATTTAGGATCCAGTTAAAAATGGGAAACTACACAAGCCCTGAACAACAATGACACCAGCAGACGGGCTAACATGGAAGGGAGAGGCCCAACTCTACAAAAAGATCTACAGACAACTCAGTTGGAGACTGCTGAGAACAGGAGAAATGGTCTTCCCAAGGGAACAACCCCCTAACTGGTTATCTGACACCAAATGGTCAGCCCTCAGATCACATACACACAAGTAACATCACACAGAATAAACAGGTGTCTTTTGGGGGAAGAGTGTGTCTGTGTGTGTGAACAATTAAAGAAAAAGAGACCATGAATTTGAGAGTATGGTTGGGAAGAATGAATGGGAGGGATTGGAAAGAATAAAGGAAAGGGAAAAATGTAATTATATATATAATTACATATATATGTACATATGTATAATATACATATATATATATATATATATATATATATATATATTTATATTGGGGGGGATTTTGAGACAGGGTTTCTCTGTGTAACTTTGGAGCCTGTTCTGGAATTCACTCTGTAGACCAGGCTGGCCTAGAACTCACAGAGATCCACATCCCTCTGCCTCCCCAGTGCTGGGATTAAAGGCTTGTGCCACCACCACCCAGTGGGGGGGGGGGGGAATAATTTTTTTAAGGTAAGGCAGAAACTATTGCAGACATGGACCCAGTGACATTCAGAAGATTGTGGGTGGGGTTCTCCTACTCCTTCAAATCCCCGTGTGGCAATATTTAAATGTCTCTGTGCTTACTACTGGTGGTTTGCTCCCAAGAAAAACACACTGGAGAAGGAAAAGATCCCAGAGCAGAAAGCAGTGGACCTAAGAGCCACAGCTGAGGAAGGAAAAAACAAAAGCTCCCAGTGTGGACAGCTTAACCAGGCCACTAGCACCCCAGTATAGACAGCTTAACCAGGCCACTAGCACCCCAGTGTGGACAGCTTAACCAGGCCACTAGCACCCCAGTATAGATAGCTTAACCAGGCCACTAGCACCCCAGTGTGGACAGCTTAACCAGGCCACTAGCACCCCAGTATACACAGTTTAACCAGGCCACTAGCACCCCAGTATAGACAGCTTAACCAGGCCACTAGCACCTCAGTGTGGATAGCTTAACCAGGCCATCCATTCCTTCTCTGTAATAGGTTTAAAAAAAACCAAAAACCAGCCTTAACAACCTCTGCCATTTCTCCTAAGATGTCAAAACATGCCAGGCATAGTCGTGGCCAAAAGGTCCAGTCTCCCTGTAGAACAGTGGTCCCAACCTTCCTACACTGTGCCCTTTAATACAGTCCTCATGTTGTGGTGACCCCCACTGTATAACTATTTTTGTTGCTACTTCATAACTATAACTTTGCTACTCTTGTGAATTGTAATGTAGATATCTCACATGTAGGGTATCTGATCCGCGACCCCAGAAAGATGGCAGCCCACAGGTTGAGAACTACTACTCTAGAGTACCCAAGGCTTCCTGCTGCCAGCTCCTACAACTGGTGCTAGCCCTCTTCACTGGGATAACATCCCAGTGTCCTCGAGGAGTGCCTCATCTCCCCTTCAGTACACGGTCTTAGCTGTTCGAGATTAACCAAGGGAACATGCAAGGGGTGAATTGGGTGTCTTCTCCCAAGCTTTCCCGAGACTGCCAGAATTCCCAGAATGCCAGGCTTCTCCTGGGGAATAGAGAGCACTCTCTTCCCTGAGGAGCTGGGCTGGGCTGTAAAAGAAAATACACAGCTTTATCAAGTACTCCACGGTTTAGTCCTTCTCAGCTTGCCTCTGAAACTGGCTTTCCTTCCTTTTTACCTCAGGAAAGAAGAGCTGACTTTGTGAGCAGAGGTACCCTGAGAGGAAGACAGAGTTAGCAACTGAAACCTGCTAAAATGTGGGAACTGAAGGAAAAGATTTGGGGCAAGGAGACTCCAGAGAGATAGGATACACACTTAAGAAAAGAGTAAAACCAACTGTGCTCTGGGAAATGGTGAAATAAATGTTCCTGAATAACACAAAACAGACACACCTGGGAATAATGCATTTGGAGTGTGACCTGGGAGCACTCCTTCTCATCAAGAGTGACCAAGTTCCAGGAAGGAAAAGGTACTTCA